AACTAACTAACTAACTAACTAACTAACTAACTAACTAACTAACTAACTAACTAACTAATTTACTTACTAACTTACTAACTAACTAACTAACTAACTAACTAACTAACTAACTAACTAACTAACTAACTAACTAACTAACTAACTAACTAACTGACTAACTAACTAACTAAATAACTGACTGACTAACTGACAGACTATCTGACTGACTAACTAACCAAGCCCGCCAACTAACCAACCAGCCAGACAGCCAGCCATCCATCAGCCATCCATCAGCCATGTTTATATGGTATCATTCTTGAAAAGAAGAATATCCTATGCTGGCCAGCTGCCATTCCAGGGGAAACCAGGCTGTATGGATCAGTGTAGGTCACTGCTGCCTTCATCAAAACCTGAGGTCTGCATACTTGAAAACGTCCTGCAGAAAGAAGAAGATTATTCCTAAACAGTGGATGCTTATGTTGACAACCTTTCCTCTTTCTTTCTTTCTTTCTTTCTTTCTTTCTTTCTTTCTTTCTTTCTTTCTTTCTTTCTTTCTTTCTTTCTTTCTTTCTTTCTTTCTTTCTTTCTTTCTTTCTTTCTTTCTTTCTTTCTTTCTTTCTTTCTTTCTTTCTTTCTTTCTTTCTTTCTTTCTTTCTTTCTTTCTTTCTTTCTTTCTTTCTTTCTTTCTTTCTTTCTTTTCTTTATTTTTTGTGTCTATTATTTCTTTCAGAATGTCATTAAAAACTAAAGTATATAATACACATTACATGTCAGTAGCATTTAAAATGGAATAATTTTCAATGTTCAATAAAATGATAAAGCTTTTATTCAGCCACATTGCAGCTAAAGCTAAATCTATGTGCTGCTTTTTTATTATTATTTTTTTGCCATTTTAAGTTGGCTTAGAGCACTGGGAGGGGTTTTACATTTCATGTCTGTTTGATATAGCTAGAGTAATATACATTTGAAAAAAAAAATGTGAATGAGAGAATTGTAACTTCAGCATTATCTAACCTAAAGTTTTGACACTTCAGAGCAACAGTTTTTTTTATCTTTCAAATTATGTGGAATTGAAATGTGCCGATGTGGGACAGAAGGGATGATAGTAACTACTGAGATGGAATGGATTAACATCACTGAAGAATGGGGCAGGAAAAAAAGAAAAAATGTGTGCTGTATAAAGGGTAACCAACAATTGTACCGTGAGTTCCTTGTACCGAAAGAGCACAGAACTGAGGGTTTTAAATGAAGCACATTAAATAAATGTAATGGCTACAGTGGTCCTTAAAACCCATGTTCAATTGTTTGAGACTTTTCTTAATTTGAATGGGGTTTTTTCTAGAAAAAAAAAAGTTCCGCTATTCATCACAAAGTGTCTAAAAAGGTGTATAAAGGGTCTGTACAGGCACTGCCTTCTCTATTTATACCCAAAACAGGTCAATGGGGATTCCCGTTCTTGTGCAAGAATGGAGTCCCTCTGCATCCACAGTTTTTATCGAGGAGATGTATACACAAATTAAACTACAGTTTCATTAATTTTCGACATATTTTATAGAACTATCATTTTTAAGGTAAATAAGTGCTATTTGAATATAACAATAAAGGCTCTTATAGACAAACAAAAAAGTTTTTGCTACAGTCAACATGAACATAAACATCAATAACGTTTGGATATAAACTGAAAGTTATTCCAGCAAAAGTAAAGAAATATCAGAAATACTGCTGTGAAACATACACATGCCATATATAACATAAATATAAATGGTTGATGGTTATTATTAATATTAGTAGACTACTACAACATATAATTATACTGTTATTTAATAATTAGTAAACAAACACAGTCAATATGAAATTGATATGTGCAAACAACTTTTCACCCAGAGCAGTTTTCTTAACAGTACTTATAGCACTACTAAATATTTATCCTCAAGGTACAAACAAATTTGTCCAGTTTCATCTTGTTGAATGAAATCAATTCCTAATCACTGCAAATTTTTTGGTAACTGTTTAAAAATACATTTCTGAATGCTGCATGCAACAACGCGTATAAGTATCATGAATGGTATATTATTTTAAAGGTAATTAAAGCAAATTAAAAAAGACCATATAACTGCAAATGCTGCGCAACATACACATATCAAACACAAAAATTCCCCATATAGATACCGGATCTCGTTGTTCAAAACAGTGTCTGGAACAAGACTAAGGCCCAGAAGTAGATGAACAACCAGAAATTTCTGCCAGAGTTTACAGCCAGTGTTCGCGAAGCAAAAGCCAATTTACAAAAATTTACACAGGCCGTACAACTGCAAATATGCATAAGAAGCAGATGAATAACCAGAAGTTTCTGCCAGAGTTTACAGCCAGTGTTCGCGAAGCATAAGACAAATGGTTGAGGATTAATATTATTAGTGTACTTCTATAACATATAATTATACTGTCAGTCAACATTTAGTAAACAGGCAAAGAGTGACTTGCTGTGAGAGGTTAGTTAGTAAATTAAATATAATTTTCATCCACTTACCTAGAGCTCCGAAATATCTTGACACTTTTATCCACAATGTAGTTGCACTTATTATGCACAGTCAGTATGAAAGCAATATCGTGTATATACACTTCACAATATCTGCTTGTCGATTTGTAATACGAATACATTCAGAACACAGAACTTCGTAAGCACATTAAAATTTCACACAATGCAACACATGGAAAGGGCTTCCAGTAACCAGTTTCAGAGGGACTCCTTTCAAAAAGTGGGTCATTTAGTTGTTAGGCACAATTAGGGACAGCGTTGGTACAGGAGTGCTGGAAAAAACAATGATGCCTAAAAAGAAGCTGGTACTGCGTATTATTGCATACGTCCAGGCAAAAAAGCCCTTCCACTATAACACTGCATAGTTTATACAGTAACTTGAAGTTAGGGACCTGTTTAAAGCCTTTAGCCTTACTGGATACAAGATGACTGACTGACTGACTTTCTACTCCACCAGGACATCACACAAGCGATAAACACCTGATGACACTATGTGCCACCATGTGGATGAAGATCACCATGGAGAGGTCCCAGAAACCGCATTTAGCCATTAGGCCATAGCATGAGCCAGAGTAGGGCTTCAAATAAGGAAAAATTGCATCCTAAAAATGATCGCAAGAGATTATGGATACAAGATGCAGTTCATATATTTTTATAGACTAACTGGCACCCAGTAGCTAATGTCAGATTTTCATAAATCAAGTTTTTTTGTTATTGTTGTTTCTAATAATATTTCAGGCTGTGTTAAGTAGTTGGAACACAATATATTAAACGTTAAATCGATGGAACACAATATATTAAGTGCTTAATAGATTGAACAAAATATATTAAGTGTTAAATAGATGGAACACAATATATTAAGTGCTAAATAGATGGAACACAATATATTAAGTGTTAAATAGATGGAACACAATATATTAAGTGCTAAATAGATGGAACACAATATATTAAATGTTAAATAGATGGAACACAATATATTAAACGTTAAATAGATGGAATACAATATATTAAGTGCTAAATAGATGGAACACAAAATATTAAATGTTAAATAGATGGAACACACTATATTAAATGTTAAATAGATGGAACACAGTATATTAAATATTGTATAGATGGAACACAATATACTAAATGTTAAATAGATGGAACACAATATACTAAATGTTAAATAGATGGAACACAATATACTAAATGTTAAATAGATGAAACACAATATAGTAAATGTTAAATAGATGGAACACAATATACTAAATGTTAAATAGATGGAACACAATATACTTAATGTTAAATAGATGGAACACAATATACTAAATGTTAATTAGATGGAACACAAAATATTAAATGTTAAATAGATGGAACACACTATACTAAATGTTAAATAGTTGGAACACAGTATATTAAATGTTGTATAGATGGAACACAATTTACTAAATGTTAAATAGATGGAACACAATTTACTAAATGTTAAATAGATGGAACACAGTATATTAAATGTTAAATAGATGGAACACAATATACTAAATGTTAAATAGATGGAACACAAAATATTAAATGTTAAATAGATGGAACACACTATACTAAATGTTAAATAGATGGAACACAATATACTAAATGTTAAATAGATGGAACACAATATACTAAATGTTAAATAGATGGAACAAAATATACTAATAATCACGATCATTAGGACCCCCACCCCCCTTTTCACCCCCTGTTTGTGGCCATGTTATAATAATGAATAATTTGTTTTCATGGGAATTTGTCAAGCAGGCAAATTGGAATTTGTATTCAAAGATTTCTTGGGACTGAAATTAAATTAGATTTTAAAATGTCTGCATTATTTGAAGTTTCGATGTTTTAATCACCGGTAACACACTAGTTAGTTTGTGCAGTAATTGTAAGTTATTTTTTAAGACCTTCAGATAAACTGGATACATGATAGTTAAACACACACACACACACAGTTAAGGACCCTTTTCATGTCAGTGGGAGATCAAACTTATGTTAAAACATACTCATGTTTTTATCAACCAGATGGCAGTTGATGGGGGATTTGGTCAACATCATGCTGGCCGCCTTTCTTCCCAAGATTTTATCTGGGTTTAACTGTTGGCCAAGGTCATAAAAAAAATACTAGATAGAGATTCAAACCCGTGACTTTTAGGCCAGAGGTGAGTGTCTAGCTCATTGGCTCTCAACTTTCCTAATTCAGCGACCCTTTAATACAGTTCCCTTATCTTGTGGCGACCCACAAACAATTTATTTCCTTCATAACTTCAATAAATATATGTTTTCCAATGTGTTTAGGCGACCCATGCAGCAGGTTGAGAACTACTACTCTAGCTTCTTAAGCTCTACCGCTTCCTAAATACATGACACTAGTCCTATATTCTCTTAAATACACTAATTTACACTCCCTGGATAATGACAGATTCACAGAAAACGGTTGTGTTTTACTAATAATGCTTCCCACTTTGTCCTGTAGACGGAACACAATATAGCCATCATGAACATTGGGGCGCCAGCTTGTGGCATGAATGCTGCCGTGCGGTCATTTGTGAGGATCAGCCTGACGAAGGGCTTCCGAGTCTTAGGCATCCACGATAGCTTCGACGGCCTGCTGAAGAATGAGGTCTACACTATGACGTGGACTCAGGTACAAGGCTGGGCCGGGTCTGGGGGATCTTTCCTGGGCACCAAGAAGTGAGTCATGATTTATTTATGTTGGCACAGGTTTTTGAATTTTTTTTCCCCCCCTACAAATTAACAGGCTTTATTATCATAATTATAATCATTGTCATTATTACATTAGTTATCATTGTTATTACAATAATTATAATTGTTGTCAGTTTCATCATTATCAAAAATCATAATTGTAACAATAATTGTGATCATCATGATAATTGTTCTCATAATTATCATTGTTATAATATTCATATCATTCCCATACTAAATTATCATATCATTATAATCGTTCTGATAATTATATCATTGTTAAAATATTCATATCATCACCATAAATATCATAATAAATGATCATAATTATCATCGGATGTCTCAACCTTTAGAATGGTCTCCAAAATTCATGTAGTTTTGAACAAGTGTATAAAGGTTCCTGGTGTGAGTGAGTTGCCAGTCTGTGCTCCATTCAGAGGTGAAAGACAGAAGATGCTGGAATTTATATTTCCAGGCCCAGGTTTAGAGTAACTCCCCCTGCCATTTGTGCCTCCTTAGGTCGGTGGGCTTCTCCTTTGTTGCGATGGAGTCATGTTTTCCTCAATGTCAACAGTTTAACCCTTGCCTCATTTCTCGTTTTCTCACTGCTTGCTTGTGTGATTATTTTCACGTTATGCTACATGCGTGACAGTTCGGGAGTATGGAAACAGCAATCTATTTCTGTTCCTACGCTCCTTGTAACTGCTTTCTTTCTCTCTGGGGGGAGGGGGGGGGGCACGGCCAGTTTCGATAGCCTAGAATCGTCGTGCCTGCGGCGCTTCCCCTGCAGTACTTCTCATTTGTACACAGATGCGTGTGGCGCCTGAAATAGACTCACAATAACACAGCCTCCCACAAATATTACTTTCGCTGAGCCAACGCCCAAAAAAAAAAAAAAAAAAGCCCATATCATAATGCCCCAGCAACATAGGAGAGGTCCAGCTACCTAAGGAGGCATGAATGGCAAGGGAAGTTACTCTAGTCCTGGGCTGGAAACGTGAACAGGACCTATATTTGTTCTTAAAAATGACTCTTCTTGCATCATTGACATATTGGGAATATAGTTTTTGTAAAAAGTTAGTTGTTTGTCCTTTATAGGACGTTGCAGAACCAACCCCATCATTTTTGTTGTTGTTGTTGCTGTTTTGATTTTTCTAGGCACATTTTTATTTAGTAGTTTGCCATCAACTACTGGACGTAAATTTGCCCATAAAAACCACACAAGAGCCAGGGGCTGTTGGGGTTAGTTCTGCAACGTCCTCTCAAGGATACGCAACTAACCTTAGTTTGCCATCCCTTTGTGAACAGTCGGCTGTAGATGCCACTGCGGAAACAGACACAAGGTGGTCTGCTGCCAAATAACCTGTAGCTGGGATCAAACCCAGCACCCCTGCATTACAAAGTGTATTCGCTGTGCTTAAGCCGTAGACTAATAGTGGTGGAGGCATATTTTTTATATAGAAATCAGCACTCAGTGGGTGATGTGGCCATCGTGGCACCGGCTGCCTTTACCCCCTCGGATATTTCCTGGTATCTGTTTTAGGCTGCATTGGATCTGCCTTGATGCGGGTTTGGATCCAAGACTGGCAGGGAAGCTCGTTTGTCTTTGCTGCCCTGAGTTTACCCCTTCTTAGGGCTTTTTATAATTGTGTTAACCCTTTTTTTGTATGTTGGAAGATCCCTGTGGCGTAGTGGTCAAGCCGTTTGCCTTCCACTCAGAAGATCAGGGATTCATTTTACCAACACGCCATTCAGATCACAAAGACAGTTTTTGTGTGGTGATCACTGTGGGTAATTACTGAAGCTACAGGACTTATGCTTTGTCTGGCCCTCTCGGCAGGTGGTTAGCTATTCTGTGGACAGAAACCAGGTTATATGGGACACACCCGTTGCAATGAAGTTTATCCTCTTGACTTCAGCCTTAACTTTAACTTAAACTCTAAGTTAACTTCAACTTTATCTTAACTTAATTTTAACTTAGCTTTTACTTTAACTTGAGTTTAACTTAACTTAAGTTTTACGCTAACTTAATTTGTTCTTGCTTGCAGACAGTTGGCTGCAGATGTTGGTGTGGCCAAGATCGCCTTGAAGTTCTCCGAGTTCAAAATCGACGGTCTGATGATAGTCGGTGGGTTTGAGGTAAGTCGCGGGAATGTTTGTCGAGCAGTTGTTGGTTGTGTGGTCGTATCTTGAGGGCAGAAGAATAGATTTTCTGCTCCTAAACTCTTTAAAGACAAGAAGATGTTTGCAAGGAAATTCGTAAGGACAGCAGTTGTCATAATAAATATAACTTGTGATAATCTGACTGCCACAGATGTAGCAATAGATAAACAACCTAGTTGATACATTAAAATCACTAGACAAATTTCTGTAGTATGCTTAGGATGAACATCAGATCACATTGTTGGTTGCCTGTCACACATGATGCATTGGTTGGGACCGAAAGAGTTGGGAAACACATTGTTGGTTGCCTGTCACACATGGTGCATTGGTTGGGACCGAAAGAGTTAGGAAACACATTGTTGGTTGCCTGTCACACATGGTGCATTGGTTGGGACCGAAAGAGTTAGGAAACACATTGTTGGTTGCCTGTCACACATGATGCATTGGTTGGGACCGAAAGAGTTGGGAAACACATTGTTGGTTGCCTGTCACACATGATGCATTGGTTGGGACCGAAAGAGTTAGGAAACACATTGTTGGTTGCCTGTCACACATGATGCATTGGTTGGGACCGAAAGAGTTAGGAAACACATTGTTGGTTGCCTGTCACACATGATGCATTGGTTGGGACCGAAAGAGTTGGGAAACACATTGTTGGTTGACTGTCACACATGGTGCATTGGTTGGGACCGAAAGAGTTGGGAAACACATTGTTGGTTGCCTGCCACACATGATGCATTGGTTGGGACCGAAAGAGTTGGGAAACACATTGTTGGTTGCCTGCCACACATGATGCATTGGTTGGGACCGAACGATTTGGGAAACACATTGTTGGTTGCCTGCCACACATGATGCATTGGTTGGGACCGAAAGATTTGGGAAACACATTGTTGGTTGCCTGCCACACATGATGCATTGGTTGGGACCGAAAGAGTTGGGAAACACATTGTTGGTTGCCTGCCACACATGATGCATTGGTTGGGACTGAAAGAGTTAGGAAACACATTGTTGGTTGCCTGCCACACATGATGCATTGGTTGGGACCGAAAGATTTGGGAAACGTTGTAAATGGCAACTAAATGAGGTTCTGCTGAAATCAGATGTTAGTGCTAGTCGAGGTTTCAACTTCACTACAATCGAGTCACCCCCACAATTGCTCCATTCCATTGCCAGTGAAAATCACATGAAATGTCCCTCACTGTCACATTTGAGAAACTGGTGAACAAACCATTGTCCTGGCACAATCCAGAAATATGTACATGCAGTAAACACAAATGGAAGTTGCTAGAGGCACCAAAGCCAACAGTCACCACCATAAATGCAGTTTGTCATAGATGGAAGCAGTTGGGCAAGATAAGTTGGCTATACACAGGTAGAATAATTACATACAATATTTCACCAGCCCACACATAAACAGCCTCTTGACCGTATTGAATACAACAACTCAACTGCTGTGCAAATAAAAGGAATTCCACATGAAAAAAAAAAAAAAACCCGACAGAACTCATAGGGCTGCACCTAGCACTAAACTTAAAATAGCTCAGGCAGCAAAATCAGATCTGTTGAGCTGAAAGGCATAGATATCAAAGCCCAGCTGTAAAACACAACACAATGAGTGAACCCCACTTTTAATGGAAAACAGAAAAATCATCATATACCTTACCTCTAAGTGTAGGTAGTGACTGTATGCCACCCATTATGATCGCCAGAAGCATGGATCAGTTCAGAGCTCTTGCCCCCCCCCCCCCCCCCTCCCACCTGCCCCTCCATCCATGAGGAGGATCAAGAACTTTTTTCCTTGCTTTCTATCCATCAATCTTGTTAGTTATCACTGAATTCTCGAGTCAGTTCCTTCTCATGTTTAAAAATAAAAACAAAAGTTTACTTTCTGCAACTAATTTCTCTAATTTGTTTGTGGTTTTCATCTGTCCCGGGAAGGATTACCTGGTGTGTTTTTCCATTACTCCACAATATTCTTTGCTTTCTTTAAAAAAAAAAAAAAAAAAAAACAACAAAAAAACCCCCTCCCCCCAAAAAAAAACAAATCGCATTTCTGTTGCCAATAAATGTTCTTTGACTTATTGTTTACTGTCCATGTCTTACATGGGTATAACAACACCAGATCATCTGTAAAACACTTTTAATACTCTTTTCTGCAGTGGATGTCCCCCCCCCCCCCATTGATTTGGTGGTGGGGGGGGGGGAGTAGGGGGTGTCACTTGCATCTTGCTTAAGGCTATTTTTTACCATGGCGATTCTTGCTCTGATCCTGCAAGGAATCTTATGTCTTGTTGTGACTGTTGTTAGATATCTTTAAATGAAAATGTCACTTTTTGTGGGCGTAATTTATGTAGGTTTCAACAGGAATATACAAGTTCTGTAACCACTGTTTATAATCCTTCTCCTCCTTCTGCCTTCTCCTCCTCCTCCTCCTCCTCCTAATTTTCTTCTTTCTATTTAAAAAAGAAATGGGAATGTTCTTTTTTGTAGAGTAAAAAAAAAAAAGAACCTTCATGTAAGTACTGAGTTCCCAATTTGTGGGGGGGGGGGGGGGGGGGGCTGAGTTTAGCCCATCACCCATTCTCCAGGTGTGTCATTAAAGTCAACTAATTAAGGATGTTTCATTAGAAGTCTGAATGCATCAGCCTTAGAGATGAGGAACTTGCAGTCTGCATACAGATAAGTCTGATCTGTAAAATAGATCTGCACGCAGGACTCAAGCTCTGGAACAAGACCAAAGTCCAAAAGTGGATGAACAACCGTAACTTTCCTCTGGAGTTCACAGCCAATGAATGCTAAGAAAAAAGAAGAAGAAAATGAGACAGATGTTAGAAGAAGAAAGGGGGAGGAGGAAGAAGAGAAAGAAAAAGATGAAGGGGGAGGAAGAAAAAATTATATACGTGTTTGAAAGCAATACATTTTCTATATTTATGTGTATTTTCCAGGCATTCCACAGTGCACACCAGATCGCAGAGGCCAGGGAAGCATTCCCATCCCTGTGTATACCAATTGTAGTTGTCCCTTGTACTATTAGCAACAACGTGCCAGGATCTGACTTCTCGCTTGGAGCTGACACAGCCCTCAATGAAATCACAGATGTGAGTTGCCTGGTTGTACGGTCATCTGTCGTTACTACTTGTATTTACCAGGTTTTTTGTGTGGCTGGTATAGGAAGGGTTTTGTTTTCTGAGGACAAATGTTACAAATACCTGGGACAGCCAGAGTAACTAACAACGATTGCTTGAAAGAAGCTATGAAAGTAAATCTCTATATACAACAATAAGAAAAAGACAAACACTCTTCTTTGGCCAAATAATAAGAAGAGAGGCATTTGAGAACATCCTGATAACTGGCAAGATCAGTGAAAAAAGGGGTAGAAGTAGACCAGGAGAGAAGATGCTTGATGGGCTAAAACAATGGCATGGAGGGATATCATCAAGAGAGCTGTTCCAGTCAACCAGGGATCGTGATCTGTGGAGACACATGATCGCCTACGCCAGTTGGCAGGGCACATGATGACGATAATAGGAAGGTTGTCAGTGATTGTGGCTTAGGCATTGCGAATATGCTTCGTAATTTTGAGATGGCCGGTTCGATCCTAGCTGCAGGCAGTTTGGTAGCAGAACACCTTGCATTGGTTTCGACAGTGATACCTAGACCGGACCGCTCAGTAGGAATGGCAAACTACTGAACGTTAAAATTTTTCTGTTGAAATCATAAACAGTCACAAAATTGCTGGGGTTGGATCTGCAGCAGCGTGTTAAAGATACACAATTGGCTTATGTAGGAGGGACGTCTGGGGCGTGAGAATTTAGAGCAGCATGGCTGATGTAGTTGCCATAAACTGTGCTTGCTAGGGTTTGTAGTTTTTGCCCTCCGGTTTAAAAAAAGAAATGTTTTGCACCTAACTGAGAATTCATGGCTGAGTGTCTCGCAGGATAACCCACAGAACTAATTGTCCATCCAATCACTGCTTCTAATCAATGCCATGTGCTGCACTTACCGTACTGAGGAGCGGGCCAAAGGACATGACTCCATATCCCTGGCTAGACTGATGGACATGGGGGTGCAGCCTGGAGCTGCAAGAAATTAACATTTCACTATGGCGACAAGACGTATCATTAACCAACACAGAAAGAACAGGCGTCATCAGTCGTTTTACAGTTTTACATTTGTGGAGCTTTTGAGGAGGAGGTCGGAGCACCTATGGATCTGTCTAGAGTGTTTTGGTAGATTATACTGGCCAGTGGCATAAAAAGTTAGAATGTATGCGACTTTTAAATATATTTAAAAAAAACACACACACAAAACACCAAAAAAAAAAAAAAAAATCTTTTCTACGCTTTTAGGCATATTGGGTATAGAGGGCTGGACCAAACGACACGTGGTGGGTGATGTGGCCTTCCGATATGCAGGCTTCTAGCGGCCAACACCACGACGACTCCCCTTTTTAATATATGGATGATGAAAATATATAATTGTTTAATTTTTTAGTAACAGAAATAATAAAGAATGTTTCTGCATTATCACAGAAATGAGGTTATATAATAATCTTACATAGGATAGGTCTTACAATCCGCTGCAGCATGAATAGGAGGGGAAGGAACTCTCGCCTTGCAGGCAAGTTTGTGATAAGTACCAGCATTCCCTGTCAAGACAGATGAAAACTGTTAGACAGATGAAAACTGTTAGCTGATTAGTGATATTAGAAGTAGACGATCAGTGTTGTGTGTTTGGACATGTTATGAGAAAGGTGGACTTGAGAACTTGGTTACAGCTGGCAAGGATGGGGGGGGGGGGGGTGGAGCAAGGGGAAGGCAATGAGATATATACTTGGATGGCTTAGCCATATAGATGGGGTGAGACAAGAACACAAACATGATCTGTATTATGGTGATCTTGTGGGATGGTGAAACATGACAGCCTACACTTAAAGCGTTACACACAATGATGATGAGGGTGATGATGATGGTGGTGATAGTGATGATGATGATGGTGGTAGAGGTGATGATGATGATGGTGGGGGTAGTGGTGATGATGATGATGATGATGGTGGTGGTAGAGATGATGATGGTGGTGGTAGTTATGATGATGATGCAATAATCAAACAGCACTAGCAGAAGTTACATGCTTTGTATTGTATTTGGTACAGATATGTGACAGAATCAAACAGTCGGCCACAGGAACCAAGCGACGTGTGTTTGTTGCAGAAACCATGGGTGGCTACTGCGGCTACCTGGCCACTTTGGCAGGCTTGGCCAGCGGTGCTGATGCTGCGTACATTTACGAGGAAAAGTTTAATGTCCTTGACCTGAAGGTTAGAAATCTTGACCCCGGTTTTTTTTTTCACCTCTGCATTTGATAGTTAAGCTTGTGTGGACTTTTGTTACAGATGTTTTTAGAATACTAACATACAAGATGTAACCTTTTAATGGTGCCTTGGTACAGTTAGTCTCTTCAAATATTTAAGGTTTTTGAGTGCTCTGTTTTTTACTTTTGTAATAATAGTATCAGTATACGTTTTGTTTATTGTCTAAGTTTAGCTGCTAACTTGTGGAAAGCAAGGAGAAACTATCACATGCTTATCCTAAGAATATTCTCATGGAAAATAGGGGCTTTGGAGCTGAAATGCTATAGAAAGATTCTCAGAACACCATGGACAAAGAAAGAAAAAAAAGAAAGAAATACTGACCTCCTGAAAGATCTGAACATCAAAGAAGATCGACTGGTAAACAGCATCTTGCCTTGGAAACTGAAATATTTTGGTCATATCAAGTGTCTCGGCAGATTGGAAACAAATTAACAGAAAGAGGGGCAGGGGCCGACCAGCACATAGATAGGCACAGGATATAAATAACAGCTTGGGAAGGGAAGTACATGAGTTGGGAGAGCTGGCGAGAAGGTAACTATTTTACACGAATCATATAAAAGGGTTTAGCATTCCTTGCTAGCAGATAATTCTGAAAAGAACTATTGCAGTGTTGGTGCAAACGTAGGAGAAAGACCCAAATACTGTCCTGACCGGCAACAAAGTCTTCTACCAGCGTGCCAATGGGGGACCCTGTCGCCAATGATAGTGAGTGTGTTTCACAATACTCAGTGAATCAGGATTAATTTTCTATGATGGCAGTTTAAAAAGGCCATTATCATGGGTTTTTTAGGCAGTGTTGTGAAATTTGCTGGAAGAGAGTAGAGACCTTGCCACACAAAGACAGCATTGGATGCTCATACACAGTTCAGCCATTAAATAATTTTTTTTTATGGCCGAGGGGAAAAAATGTCATCCGTGTGGCAAAGCAGGTCATCCAAACATGCACCATTCATCTATAAGTTGACCAAATTGCAACACCACCTAGTTAGCAGATGACAAGTAACCCACCATTTTGTTTAACTAGTGAGAGTTGCCTTGTTACATATGCAGCAGCATGGAGACTGAAGCTTGAAAAAAAAAAAAACTTCGTTAACATGAAGAAATTTTGGTCCCAGCGAGAATGTACTGTTGTTAGTTCTTGGTTACCACAAATTTTCACACAAACTATTAATTTTTCGGTCTCTTGGAATTCGTGTTAAAGAAGTTTTACTGTGTAATTTTGGGTGGGGAGAAGAAAAAAAAAAGGCCAGCAAAATGAAAGTCAGTAAATAAACAGTTTTGTCACATTTAAATGTAAAGAATTGGAGTGAAAGTTCTTACTACTTTTTCTGTATTTTCCATGCATGACCACTGATTTCTTTCTTTCTTTCACTGTTATGTTTTCTCTGTGTGACTCTCTCTATTCCTGATCTTTAGATCAGCAGACGTGCAATAGCAGACTATTGTAGATTTCATATTTTGCTTTTAATTAATTCATTTCCCTCCTGTACCCTCTTGTTCTAGGGGGCCGCATTAGCGCAGTTGATAGTAGACTCACATTCAAATCTAGCTGCGACTCGCTGCAGCCCATAGCCGGTGGTCGAAACCGGGCAGTTTCTGGGGGTTTACCCAGCCTCTAGGTAATGGGTACCAGAGTTAACACTCTGGGGTAGGGTAAATGGAGGAACATCGCTGCAGCTATGGAGTTGCGTGCGGATGGTGACACAGGCAGACAATTTCTTATCAGCTGTCCATACTGGTGGCAGAGCACTTATGGTTTAAAACCGTGTGCAATGACGCTGGTTGAAATCTCCTGACTTTTTTTTTTTTTACCTCTTGTGCCATTATATGTCACAAACGGCCCAGTCCATTCATCCTTTTCGCTGTATCCTGTGAAACCAGTTCAATATCAGGGATGGTTTCCAGCCCAGCACCTTTGGCTTCTCTCTCGTCAACATTTCTCTTGAACGTCCTTGTATCCTTAATTCTTCTGTTTTCCATTCCAGTGTCTGTCTGACCTTTTCTTAGAATTTGTCCAATATAATTCTATCTTCTCTGTCTAACAACTGTTGGTACGTATGGTTGCCTAGACATTTCTGTTGTTCCTTCACTACTCTTAAATTCATTCCATTTTATTTTCATCATTTTCCTCAGACCTTTTTTTTTTGGAATGCTTTTAACTATCATTCCATGTTTTTAGTAGTGCTCCAACTTTTACCAGCATATGTTAAAACTAGAATAACAGCGATTAAATGTTTTGTTTAGTTGTGCATGCAGTTTCAAACTTATATTTCATGGTTGCATTGCTCTGGTTGCTATCTTTGTGGTAAATGCATGTTACTGTTGTTTCCTCTGTTGTTTTTGCAACTGGCAGCAAGATGTGGAACATCTCAAAGACAAGATCTTGAATGCTGGGGTCCAGAGAGGTTTGGTGTTGAGGTAAGCTAGAAAATAGTGAGCACTTGTTTGTCATGATTAGCCTCAGTGTTTCAATTTGTGTGTGTGTGTGCATGCGTGCTGTGCATGTGTGTATGTGAGTATGTGTATGTGCGCGTGTGTGTCAGTCTTCTTCTTTTTGGGAGCTGCCATGGAGTAGTGGCTAGATGCTCAACTGCAGATCCGAAGGTCGTTGGTTCAATTCAGAATGGAGCCGAACTTTTTTTTTTTCAGAAATGACTTGCTCCCAGGTCAATCCAGTGTTCTTCTTCTTTGTATTTACTGCTGTAAACCTGGAAAGTTATGTCAGTTGTTTTCGTGTGTCAGTTTCTTTCAAGGCATCTTCATTACTCTTTTTATCAGTGCAAAGAATTCTCATCATTCGTTAATTCATCATTCGTTAATTTGAAAAAACAAGTACTTTTTACTAATTGTCCAACTGTCCATGATTCACTTCTGAACATCAGGATAAGATTCCCTTTCTCATCCCAGTTGACAAAGAAAAATATCAGTCTATTATGCATGTCTTAAGTTGGTTGGGTTGAGTGAAGAACCTGACTTCACAGGATGTAGGACATTCCCATATGCGCTCCATTCTCATCCTCAGCAGCCAGCAAAGAATTCCAATAGTAGTTTGATTATTTGTCTGTCTTGCCTTTTGCCTGAGTGTAGAGTATTGGCTACTCCCCACCCCATCTTTAACTCCACCTGAAAGATCTCCACACTTCTGCATTGTTCATGTGCTTTCAAAGGACCTTGACCACATTGAGCTTAGGTCACCCAGTGACTTGCACCACCCATTGGTGCAGCACCAGCCAGTTTGCCTGCCTGTTTATTTCCAAACACACCTGCAAGACCCGGAGATGATATCCAAAGGACGCTAACTACCGAAATGTCTGATATGCATGTCTTAAGACACAGCCATTGCTTGTTTAACATGGCCAGTATATTTTAGTTACCAAGAAATGGTACAATCTATGATCCTGTCTTCTATGTACAGATGTTGAAATACGGTAGTATTTCTCTCTTTTTGGTCCGCCATACTCTTAAAATCTTCCTTCAATATTTAGTTTTAAAACCTCCCATTTTTTGGGTGATTGCACAATAGTCGATGATTCACATCCTTATACTGCCACAGGAAAGGTGCTTAGCATTATTACTTTAACTCTTTCACCCTGGAAATTCTTTTTAAAAAAATTATGAATCATGACCTCGACAGAATTCCTGAAAAAAATTCTTTAAAAAAAAAGTGTGATAAGGTCATTAATAAATTAAAAGCAGTGTCATTTATCTACATTTTTTCTTCAAAATAGAAAGAGAGTATTCAGTAGACACGAACAGAGGAAAGCAATAAATGGAATATATTTAATGATGAGGCTTAAAAATCAACATGTATGAATTAATTCCTGCCCTGACCCTGTGACCTCAATCACTGAAACTTGCGTGAAAACGTGACATCAGCATGTGTTGAATAGGGTTTCTGAGATTTGCTTGTGTTGAATTCCCATCCAGTTAGTGGCTCTTTGAATCACTAAGTGGCAACCTTTGTGTGGTTCCAATCCCTGAAGGGAAAAAAGTTTTTGGCTGCATATTCTAGGACACAATATAATTAAGTAGATGGCCAGTTCCTGTCCTCGCAACCTTTTCTTTGCAGATACTCCCCCCGCCCAGATGCTCCTTCCTTCCTTCCTTCTTATTCTTGATGCTCACCGGGTGTAAACTCCAATGGAAAGTTCTGGTTGTTTGTACACTTCTGGACTTTAGTCTCTATCCACCAGATCTTTAGTTTTGTGTGCGCATCTGTTTTTACAGATCTGGCTTACTTGTTTAGAGACTGAGGGTTCTTGCCTCTCACGTGTGCACTCCAGTTTGAAGGAAACTCCCTTAATTCTTCCCCTTGTACGACAGTGCTCCTTAGGGAGGCAGTGGGTCTGTTCTTCTCCCCCTCCTCCCTAGAACTGACACAAGAGCCCAGAGATGCTAAAAACTAACCCTTTTTTTATGAGGCTGGATTGAATCCCATGGCTTTGTCAGAAGAACTGATGCTTTTTCTACTAGTCATTGAACCTAACTGCTGTTTTAGCACTAACCACAGTACCACATTTTCTTGCTTTTACATCACTGATGTATTGTTATTCCTTCCGCCAAAGAAGCCACACAATCGACACCTTCAGTTAGGCCCAATTCCCCCTAAATGTTGCTTTTGCGACTTGTTTATAATGACCTGTTTACATGATGTATTGTTAATGCTATTGGCTGTTTTTACCCTTATACAAACATTTAGGCCAGGACATAAATCTGTGAGCTAAAAAATAGTATTCATGGGTGTTTTCCTTAGAAACAAATAGCTTTTATTAAAAGCCAAACTGGTGTCACATTTTCTCATAGCCTCAATGATAGAGGACATGGGGTCACTGCATGAGTCAGAGTACACATGTTTTTTGTTTCAGGCCTCAGGGAATGTATTCTGTTTAAGGCTTTACATCTAAGGCTTTCTATCTGTTAAAATAAATTTGAGAAAACATACATCAACAAATTTTTAACAAATTTATAAATGACTTGTGTTTAAAAAAAAAGTCTTTTTAACTTTTTGAGTCCTGGGGGGTTGAGCACCAGAGGCCGAAAAGGTAGTCAAGAAAGACGTAAAATCTGCGCATCTTGTGTTCGTTGGACTTCTGGGTAGGAACCTTTGAACTTATGATGTGTTCCTTGGTACTCAAAAGAGTTAAGGATTTTTAAATGGAATTTCGGTGGAGTCATGGCCATTTTGTTATTGTTAATGATACCAGGCCTAAAAAATAGTTTTATTTGAAACTAAAGTTGTCGCATTTCTCCACAGAAACGAACTTGCCAATCCCAACTACACCACAGACTTTGTGAGCCGTCTGTTTGCTGAAGAAGGTTTCCCCACATTCACAACTCGCATGAATGTGCTCGGTCACATGCAGCAGGGAGGCTACCCATCTCCATTTGACCGCAACTATGGAACAAAGATGGCTGCCAAGGGAGTGGAATGGCTGTCAGATAAGATGGAGAGGTTTAAAACTCCACAAGGTTAGTGCCAAGAAAATGTAGATATACAGTCCCCTTTATATGTTGACGTCATTTTCATTGATTGGACGGTCACCACATATTATTAGTGGAAGCCTAGGCTATCATCCGAATAATGGGCACATATTATGGCGGCCAAAAACACACCCTAACAGGGCCTCAGTCACATGTCAATTGCAGACTTCCGGCAACTTAAACTGCTGAATTCCGGCGACTACCGCCACTGCCGAAAGTATCTCCCACTCTCCCGCATGGAGCGGGGCTAAACTAGATAGCTGGGACTCAGGAGCAGCAGCTACCGCATCTCCTGCAGCTTCCTTCATTGTATTTGCTCGTGAGTCCCAGCCATCTTGCTTAGCGGCGTGGGAAATACTCTCGGCGGTAGTTGCCGGAAGTCCGCAAATGACATGCGACTGAGGCCCTGTTAGGGTGTGTTTTTGGCCACCATAATGTGTCCCCGTTATTCAGAGGAAAGCCGAAGGCTACCTCTAAATGTTGACCACCTCTGTAAGTTGTATGTTGACCAGATGGAATATGACATAATAGTAATTTACCCTCTATAACTTGACTCTTTGATTTTAACCATGTTTAATTTGTACATTTAAAAAAAACAATGGTCCTGCATACTTCTTTTGATCTCGAGGAACCTAATGAAAAGACCATGATAAGACTGAATGCAGGAAAGAAGTACCAGCAGGGAGAAGTACCAGCAGGGAGAAGTACCAACAGGGAGAAGTACCAGCAGGGAGAAGTACCAGCAGGGAGAAGTACCAGCAGGGAGAAGTACCAGCAGGGAGAAGCATCGAAGGCACAACAGTTCATGTGTTCATGGAGCCACAGAGTCATGCAGCTTTCTTTTGGTTATGCGCTGTTTTTGACAGTCGTAGCAGCTGTTTTTTAAGTAGGTGATGTAAGGGAGATGGCATCTTTGATGCTGACAAGTGGGAACTCCTTCAAGGTGATGCTTGACAAGAGCCTCACTGTAAAGCGGGAAAAATGCAAGAGCAAAAGACTTTCTAAAGAAGGTGACACAATTATACTACTGCTATATCCCAGTAAACCATCTTACAGTGTTTTCTTAAGTGGTATCAAAAGTCGACTTATTATCCTCATTGATTTTATCTTGAGAAATTTCTTAAAGAAAGACCTGGGTGGGTTCGCTCCCTGGCGGAGCGGGAGTTTTTTTTAAAAAAATGACTGACTCCCAGGTCGACCCATTCCTTTCACTTCTGTATATGGGTTTTATTTCTGGTAATAATTTGCATGTTGGCATCTGTGGCTTTATAATGCTGGGTTGCCGGGTTCGATCCCAGCTGCTGACGATTTGGTTGCAGAATGTCTTGCGTTGGTTTCGAAAGTGCTACCAAAAGCTGACAGTCCAGCAAGCAATGGCAAATTTCTGAACATAAAATTTGCCTTGTAAAACCACAACAGGCAAAAAAAATTATGGGGTTGGTTCTGCAGTGTCCTGTAAAGTTACACAACTAACTTCTGTATACCCCAGTGCTAGTCATGTCTGATGTTGGTTGTGTTTGCAGGCTGTGTGAGGACTGGCAATGCTGACTCTGTGGTGCTCCTGGGCATGTTGAAGAGGCATCTGACTTTTACTCCAGTGGAGGAGCTGGCTGAAGAAACAGACTTTGAGTGAGTAGTGTAGTCTGTAAGGCAGGCCTTTGCTGCTTAGCTTCTTTTTCTTCTTCTTCTTCTTCTCCTCCTCTTCCTCTTCCTCTTCTTCTTCTTCAACAACTCAACACTCAACAACACATTTGTCTCCCACAAGGGATGTGTATTTGGGCCCTGTGGATGTAGTATGCCCATCACCAGGAAGGCAAACCTGGTCAACAAATCCCAGCAAAAGTCGGTGTGTCAGTCGAAGGGTGCAAACATTGCTGCCATGTTGTAAATGAGCACAGTGCATTTACATCTTTAGATGAACACAGAAGGAGATGAAAAAAGATGTAAACCCATTATATTGTTGATTTCCTAAATGACTGACTGTGGCATCAACTCTATCTTTCTGAAATGACTTCTGATATCTTCTTCTTCTTCTTCTTGTTCACCGGCTGTGAATTCCGGCGGTAAGTCGCGGTTGTTCGTCCAAAATGGACTTTTGGCTTTTACCTTGACCTGAGTTTTGCGTGTACATCCGTTTTACTGGCTTATTTGTTTGCAATTCTCGTTCCCCGCCTCTCCGGCAGATGTACTCCGACTTCGGAGGAAGACGTCAAGCCTATTTCTAGGTTGACTGTGGCCATTGTTTTGTGTGGGTCGAGATGTTGCCTTATTTGTGTGGTGTCCTCTTTGACTTTTAACAGGTGTGGCCCCCGGAATGTCGTCCTTAAGGCAGCTCTATGTAGAGTTTTCAGCCCTCAAGGGAAAGCAGGGGCAGATCATGGGCATTCCCCGCCATCCAAGGAGGCTTCCATAAATGCAGAGCCGACACATGATGCTCTGGTTCTTGGCTCACCCAAGGAATCGTCACGTCCTGCCCATGACTGCTTAACCTCACAACTGTGTATTGAGCTTCCCGCGCTACAAGGCTGCGCTCTCCGGAGAACAGCGGGGAGCAGCCCGCAGGTCTAGGACGTTTGTGGCCACACAAATAGGTACATTCTTTTTCATCTTACGTTAGACACCTTTAATGTTGTTTCAGCTGTGCCCTTAGCACGACAGAATGGGGAAGCAAAATGCGTCAGGCGTGGCTTCACCTGTTTGGTCCCAACACTCGGGCGAGTTGGACCTCATTCTAGCCTGGTCAACAACGGCTGAGGTCCGAGGTCCTATTCCATTATTCCATGCACCATTATTCAGGCAGCCGAGGCCTGCTTTGAACACTCTAATTTTTTCAAATTAAGCGCGCCGGCCACCCGGGACGCTCAGCGAAGAGCACCCACGGGAGAGAGCCGGCAGACTGTAGGGCAGGACACGGGCAGTGAACCGGCGCGAGCCGGACCGCCCGCCTGCACCTGAGATCCAACTACGAGCTTTTTAACTGCAACAACTTTAATATACGCTATTGGAGCTGGAATTACCGCGGCTGCTGGCACCAGACTTGCCCTCCAATAGAACTTCTGATATACCTGCCAAAACAGCTCTCACATGGACACCAGAGGGAAAGAGAAAACAGGGGCGCCCAAAAACAACATGGAGACGAACGATGGAAAGTGACCTGAGTGCGGCATCTTCGACATGGAAAACTGCATTGAAGATTGCACAGGACAGGAAAACATGGAAAGTCCTCTCTGAAGCCTCATGTGCCACTAGGCATAACGAGAACTGATGATGATGAAACACCTCACTTCAGTTTACTATAAATGTGGTCCTCACTGCATATTGTCTTTAATCAGTTTTTCCATATTTTCTTTCGCACAAAACAGCAAACGTCTACCCAAAGAGCAGTGGTGGCTCAAGCTACGGCCACTGCTGAGAATCCTGGCCAAGCATTCGGTGGTCAGCTATGAGACGGAGGCGGTGATGCATAACATAGATGACGATGATGATGATGAGGAAGGAGAGCATATACTTTAAATAGAACAGACTCGTTTTATAATGTATTAAGCAGGACATAACTCTCGACTCAGTATTGGAACTTTTTTGTAACCAATGTTGTAAAAGCTAGCTACCTTCTCAGGTTCTTTATTATTATCCTACCCCCAGATGACGTCACAGGACAGTCAGCAATTTTAGTGGGTGGTAAGACTGGGTTTCCCGGCTTTCTGATGCTTTAACGACCCCAAAACATCTAGAACTGGCCCTTACCCAAACCCACCTATGTCCCACGATAGAGTGCAGCCTAGGTCCCACGACTGCATGCAACCTATCTACCACACCCTGAAATAAAAGACTGTTCCATGACCTGTAGGATTTTCCCTGTTTGGGGTAGAATATTAATAAAGCACCCCTTCTTATGTTGTCTACAAATGCATCAAATTTGGCTTTTCTTTCTGCACAGAACAAAAAATAATAATAAAGATAGATGCTGTCCGTATTAATTTATAAATTTAAAGGTGTCAGAGTGTATAGTTGTATGTATACATTAAATATGCTGTTTCTTACAATTATTATGTCTGTGCACTCCGTAGAGTATCAGTACAAGGTTAAAATGCTATCATAGACCTCTAACACTGCATGTTGTTAGGTCACCAGTTACTGTTGACGGTCTGATCACAGAACAGGGAAAATAATGGTAGATGTTGTCCGTACAAATTTATAAATTTAAAGGGCGAGAGTGTGTGTAGTTGTAGATATACATTAAGTATGCTATTTTGTACATTTATTACATTTGTACACTTCGTACAGTATCACTGCAAGGTGTACGAGTAATCATCATTGTCCCAGAACACCAGAATTGTTAAAACACCATTTGCTGTTGACTGATAAACTCCCTCCAAATCTGTTGGTCAGGTGCAATGAAATTGACGTCTGCATGTCTGAATGTCCAGATTCTCTATCCAGGTCTTTCCTTTTCTGTTTGTTTTCATTTTTCCCTCTACTGAGCCCTGCTGAATCGTTTTGGAGAGGCAAAAGAGGATCTGGCTACATTCCATACTCACTCTGTCGTTTTGCTGTTGTTAAAAAGAGCTTCATAGTTGCCATTGTCTTGATTGCTGATAACGTGAACTTCATTTGTGATGTCGTCTCTGTATGACAGGCCTGTTCAATTAAGTTTACTGGGGCCCAAGTGTTGAAAATGGGGTTTGTCACGGGCCAGATACCAAACTTGCAGCATATAGAGATAGATCGTTAATCTATTACAGTTGGCAAAAAATTGTGGGCCACTTGTATCTCTGCTGGTCCGATTGGGCCCACAGTCTGCTGTGTGAGATACACAAAATCTTTAAAAAAAAATATGTCCAATTAATTTCCAATGCTTTTGTTTTTAAATCTACATTATACTGATTTGTTTCGACAATATTAAACATAATTTCTGGTTTGTACTCTTGGTCAGTTGGAGGGGATCCTAGATATTTGAACTGGTTAAAGAGTCAGCATTTGCAAATGAATTAAAAAAAATAAATAGTTATGCATTTATGGATGGAATGCATTTATGGATGGAGTGCATTTATAGATGAAGTGGATTTATGGATGGAGTGGATTTATGGATGGAGCTAGCTTTCTGAAACTCAACAAAATCACCATGCATCAAGCTAACAAACATAAACTCTCCTGGGAACTAATTATTAGCCGTGCCTGTGATGCCTCACAACATTAAGCAGAGAAAGACAATAGACAAATTTATTAGATGAATCTTCCTAGTAGAACTGGGAGTCAGCAGATAATTACAGAAATGATCATCCTAGCGCATGGGAGAGAGTCATCAGTGGTGATCTCCTTGATCAGAGATATGCGTTAGCATCCTGAAAGTGATGGTGACACAGAATATCATCCTAGCACAGGATAGAGTCAGCCTTGCTCATTGCCTTGATAACACATGAATTATCATCCTTCTAGTCATCATTACATGAACTGTCCTAGCACAGATGAGAATCAACATTGATAATTACAGAATTGTCATCCTGGCACAGATGTGAATCAACAATGCTCATAGCCTTGATTAAACATGAATTATCATCCTGTTAGTCATCATTACATAGTTTATCATCCTATTACAGATGAGAATCAACATTGATAATTACAAAAATTGTCATCATAGCACAGATGAGAATCAACATTGATAAATACAGATATTGTCATCCTAGCACAAATGAGAAAGATAGACATTTTTGTTTTTTTGTTGTTGAAGAGACAGGTGCCGATTTGTTGTATAATGATTTTGTGATCTTTATTATTTGAGATGTGATCTCCATACGATATACTAAGTTTCTTGAGAAAGGATCTAATTTGCATACCATGTATAATTTAATCAGTTGGTGTTTGGTGAGTTTTCAGTGCTGCATTAGTCACCTTGTTCAGTTTTTTTTTTTTATGAATCTCTAATTCATGTAATCTGTTTCATAAAACAAAATAATTTCTATGGCTGTTTGTAATCCTTGTTGTGTTTCATTTAATTTGTTGATGTTGTTAGCCTGTCTTTGTGGTAAGGTTTATATTGTCAGATGTCAGTCTTAGAGTGGCTTTTAAATGTGGTCAGTTAGATCAGACTTTCCCCATTTGGTGGGATATGGAGCCTTAGTCAACCAAAAAGACCTGCCAATTTTTATACCACTTTTGTGGTGTAAGGGGCGTCTGAACGTGAGGATTTTATGCTGCATGGCTAGTGCTGTCGCCACGGACTGTGCAGGTGAGAATTTAATTTCTCCCTGACAGAAAAAAATAATATCCTTATTCTTACAGAGGGTTCAAACCTGGGTCTCCTGCCTGGGAGCCTAGCATTGTAACTGTTGGACCTGCCGCTCCTGGTGGGTCAACGGAACAAATTTAACTCATTTGGTACCAAGCTCCTCTTCTTCATGATCCTAACATCTGCCCCCCAATGCTTCACTGAAGAAACTTGAGAAAAAGAAGAAATATTCTCTCATGCTTGTCTTCATATGATGTTACACTTCTTCTTCGCGTTCAGCAGCTGTACACTCTGGCGGAAAGTTCTGGTTTCTCGTACGCTCGCTACCATCAGTACTGGAATTCTGTGCTCGCTACTGGAGATGAGGATGGAGCATGCATGGGAATGCCCAGAGTGCTGTGATGTCAATTCTTGACTCAACTCATGTTATACAACATGTCTCTTTCCCCCCCCCCTCTCTCTCTCTCTCTCTCTCTCTCTCTCTCTCTCTCTCTTGAAAAAATCATTTCACATGGCAGTTTCTGGGCTTGCGTTATAAAAAAAAAAAAACTATGTGCCATCTTCACAATGAGAGTTGACTACAGGGTACCACTGCTGTCTTTGGAAATATTACGTGGTAATGCCCAAGTCTTTTCCACGGTGCCACTCTCATAGCACTATCCGAAAACCATGAGAAATGTCTGTTTTTAAAGCCACCACACAGCTGGATCGATAACAACAAAGCCACCACACAGGGGACACAGGGCGTCGTTGGGGGCTAGATGCCCGCCTGTGGATCGGAAGGTTGTGGGTTCGCGTCCTGGCGGAGCCATACTTTTTTTTCTTCAAAAAATTACCTTGACCCCCAGGTCGACCCAGCCTTGAGTGGGTACCAGGTGCAGTCCTGGGAAGTAAAGGCAACCGACATGATGCTACATCAGCCACCCAGTGCCGATAGGACTATAAAATATAGGTCTAGCCCTATATTCTTCTTCTTCTTCCTCTGCTCATTCTCCTTCTTCTCCTCCTCCTTCTTTTACTTCTCCTCCTCCTCCTCTTCCTCCTCCTTCTTCTTCTTCTTCTCTTCTTCTTCTTCTTCTTCTTCTTCTTCTTCTTCTTCTTCTTCTTCTTCTTCTTCTTCTTCTTCTTCTTCTTCTTCTTCTTCTTCTTCTTCCTCTCTTTTTCTTCTTCTTCCTCTTCTTCTTCTTCTTCTTCTTCTTCTTCTTCTTCTTCTTCTTCTTCTTCTTCTTCTTCTTCTTCTTCTTCTGGTCCTTGTTGCTTGTAGCCATGTTAATGCACAACCTTCTGTCTCATGTACATAGGAACTAACCAAAGAGGAAGTGCTCACAGAGAGGAAGTGACCTTAGTGAAAGTGACCGTATATAAAATGACCACAGCGGAAGTGACCATAGATAAAGTGACCACAGAGGTTACGACAGAAAGTGACCATAGAGAAAGTGACCACAGAGTAAGTGACCGCAGAGAAAGTGGCCATTGAGGAAGTGTCCCCAGAGAAAATGACAACAGGAGATCACCAAAGAGAAAGTGGACGAACTACTAGACTTTCCGCCGGAGTTTATTGCCGGTAAACGCATAGTAGAAAAGAAAGAAAAAAAAAGAAGAAGAAGAAAGAAAAGTTTGCTACGTTGTCTGAACCCTTTTGTCTGTCCTGCTGATGGCTTTGCACAGGGAGGCATGACGATACCAACTGAGGTCATGTAAGTTACCCAAGAGCACGATTCCTATCTCAGCCTGCTTTGTTAACTCTCCAGAGTAAAGTTAACACCTGTCTATCTATCCATCCATCTATCTGTATATCCATCTATCTGTCTGTCTGTCTGTCTGTCTCTCTCTCTGTCTGTCTGTCTGTATGTCTGTTAGTCTGTCTGTCTGTCTGTCTGTCTGGTCTGTCTGTCTGTCTGTCTTCTTTTACTCCACCAGGACATCACACAAGCGATAAACAGCCGATGACACAAAGTGCCACCATGTGAATGAGGATCACCCGTGGAGAGGTCCCAGAAACCGCATTCTGCCATTAAAACGTATTTATGGTCGGGCTATATTGTTTGTTTGTTTGTTTGTTTCTTTCTTTCTTTCTTAAAAAAAAAAGTAGTGTCAAAGTTAAAAATACAGCAAGCATATTTGGAAACATCCAGCATGAAACAGATTTGACAACAAAAAAACTCTTATTACAACAGATTTTATTAATCTCTTTGGAGTTTTCTTTTTCGCTTGATAAACTTTGCAATTTGTGTTTAGTGAGTTTTTCAAAGTCTTGTATTTTAAAAAAAAAAGTAAGATTTAAAGT